ACGGGCTACTCACGACCGCCCGAAAATACTGATTTTTTGCCCGATGCCCGACCCGACCGGCCTAAAAAATTTGGGCCGCCCGCCCGAGCCTGAAAATGTCCTTGAACGGGCTGCGGGCTTATATTTGGCTGCCCGAGCCCAGCCGGGCAGCCCGAGCCCGCCCGAATAGCTGAATTTTTTTTAATATTTTTTAATTTTTATAATTATTAAGTTAGTTTCTGTTAAAATTATATAAAAATCAAAATCAACATTCAACAGGCACTATTAACACAATTGAATAAATTAATCATGTATATTAATGATGTATATTAAATTCGTAATTCATGATTGTCTTGTTAAAAACCTTACCAAGAAAAACCTAATTGGGATAAAAACTTGGCAAGGAAAAAAGAGTGCAATCATTTTGTGACGAATTACAAATTTTACAAACTTACAAAGTTATACAATTACAAATACAATGTCAAAAGTAAATAGATATTTACAAATTACAAATTTACAATTTAATTGAAGCTGAAGGATCGTCTTCAAAATTAAAAGTTAATCGATTAAATTCATCGATCCATTCCTGGCTTGCCGGCGAAATTGTATCCTGTAGACGTTGATCGGCCCGATCCCAATCCTTAATGCAAACTAAGGCTTCAACAATATCCCTTTGTAATGCATTCCGGCGTTCCTTAAGTATTCTTCATGTCGTACTGAAGGCTTGTTCGGATGAAATAGTGGATACTGGGATAGAAAATATTGTTGAGAATAGTGTCCTAGAAGCATGAGATGTAATATGATATTTATTATTTAATTAATAAAAGAGTTTATTCATCATTTTATGTGCATATATTTATGAATATTTTAGGAATATCAAATTAAAATTCCGTGATTATTTATGTAACCTTAAACATTGTATATAAGTGTTATATACGAGACGATAATGTTTAAGGATAATAATCAAAAACATTGTTCATAATGAATTTAATTAAAGTTCAGAATCTTTAATTAAAACACTATTAATACATGTCATTCCTATTTAGAATAAAACGGTACTATCCGCACTGTTAATATGGTGAGATATTGAATGAGTATATTTCGCATAATGAGATTGTGTGGAACAGGGACACAGACACAATATGAATTTCTAATAATTTTCGTTAAGCATAGAAATTCTAATTGAGTCTACCGATAGTCATATATAGAATGATCTTAATCTTGAGTTCTTAACAAACTCCTATTTATGAATTTGTGTCTTTTAATTTACTTGGTACAGATTCTAAGACCCTGAATCCTATTCCTTGTATTTTGGAGACATGATGAAATAGGTAGCCGGGAATGTTATTATAGGAGATAGAATCCATTCCTTCTTGAGAAAGAAGTAGATAAATAATTCTCTTGAGTGTTGATTCAGTACTTGGATTAGTAAGAGCGCTCTGGTTCATGAATGTGTTTTATGAATCACTATCCATTAGAGAATCAATGGTACTCAAGGATAAAGA